CCCCACCGTTATGTTTCTCATACATTGTAATACAGTTTATATTTCAAGTGTGATTTCTGTGTAGATTATTATAATCGAAATACCTTGCAATACCAATAAAACTCAATAGAAGAGTTAATTCTTCTCATTTTCAAATATATTATTCAATATAGAACACATCTAGATAGTTTCATAAAAGTCTAGATACTATATATGGTCTTTGATTAAATTTAAAAATAGACTGCCGTTGATTACTGGAATATTAAATCAAAGCTTGATGATCAAGCTATTGATTGAAATCAAACCGATTATTGAATATTGATCATTGAATTGGTGAACAATCACACTCTTGATAATGCTATATTTCATATTGCATGAAAATCAACCTGATTCAATCTACAAAGGTTGGTAGTTGCACCACTTCGTGGCGAAACTACCCATCCACGATGAATCAACATTAGATTCACTTCCATTCAACTCAATTTGACCGTTATAATCAATAAATCAATGAAATGTTCTTTTATTAGCAAAACCTATTCAATCTAATGAGTAGATTCACGTCCCAAACATTTGACTTCTCAAAGTCCATAATTCAAAAGTTAGTACTGACCTGACCTTTAAATATCTATCAATACAAGAAATGAAACCATCAAATTTACATCATTTATAGACGATAAGAAATATAATCAATGATATGAATCTTCACTAAGTAATCTCTTAAATAACCCAAATAAATCAACTCTGAATCCTAACCAAACCCAATTAGAATGCCTATCCTATAGTTTAATAAATATTCTCGAAATTCTATTTATTTATGTACACTATTTACAAAAATGCAAAATTACTTTCTCAAATTTCTGGAATAGGCCTTTGCCACCTTTTCCATTGTTGGTGCTTTGTAGTAAACACCTCCATAATCATCAAATGAATCGCTCTCTGCCTCACAATCATCATTTCTAGTCATGACATTCTGAGCTGAAACAAAATCATCACATTGCATATCAGATAAGGTTGAATATTGCATCAAATTCTTAGTTCTGGTTGAGGCAATTTCAAAGGTTTTAACTTGGGCAACCTTTTCAGAGGATGTTTCATTGTGAATAAGTTTAAGTAAATCATCCATTCCCAAATTATTGACCTTCTCTTCTCCCAATTCTTTAATTTTCTTTGCAACAAGATTGTCCATATCTTCATCTTCCACACAACCATTAATCACCAAATTTGGAATCTTATTAGCATCTGTTAAGAGTAAACATTTACCATCAGTTTTAGTTGTCAAAAAATCCATAAACAAGGTCAATTGTTGATCATCCTTTGCTCTTTCACACAAAATTCCATAAAAGACAACATTCTTCTCCTGGAGAGCAGATCCCAATTTGATCCAATCAATAACATTTCATTCCATGTGGAGGAGCATCAGCAACCCAAACAACAATCTTCTTTCCCTTCTTATTAAATGGCATTTCATTAATGACATAGAGAGCTGATGCCAAAGCTTCTGGATGATCACCTCCACCTTGAGCTGACATTGTATTGATATAACCCTTTGCCTTATTTAAATCCTTTGTAAATGGGAATTCCTTAACTGCATAATCATCAGTGTGATCTCTATAACTGACAGCTGAAAATCTCAAATCAGATTGAAACTTTTCATGAAGTGTTGAGATGATAGTAGTGACAGTTCGTTTGGCAACTTCAATTTCACCAGACATTGATCCAGTACAATCCATTACAATAACCAAATCGACAAAATTTTCACTGTGGTCAACCAATTCTTGATCATAACCTTCTTCTTCCAAATGTTTAGCACGAATCCAAGCACCTGTTGTTTGGGAATTGCTTGTTGTGTTTGAGACAAATGCATCACCATCTAAAATTGTCAATTCATCCATTCTTCTTTCTAATTTTTCTTCAACTGGCAACATTTCGTCACAAAAATCATCATCACAATTGTTTAAATCAGAAGGAATGTAGAGATCCATTATTTTGATATGGTAGGTTATAATTAAAGTTTCTGTTTTTTTTGATTTTGTTTGGATACGAACTGAACGGAGGTTTGATTTAAACTTGTGGAGAATAGCAAGTTCATTGTTCGAAAGTTACTACCTCTTTCATTTGTTTCATTGCAATTACGAAGAGTTCCAATGCACAGGGAAATGAAGTTTGCAATTCTAGAATAAACTTTGAATTAGTGTAATTTAGAATAATAAAGACCAGGTTTATTGTCTCTTGTTTAAATTGCAAATTATTATCAACTCAAACACTGAACCGAAACTTAACATAGCTCATTTCTTTACCGATGGTTACTACGAGTGAACATGGATAAAAGAAGATTGTCAAACTTCCAAAATTCACAATAAACAGAACATTGGCAGTTACAACTTTACAAAAGAGTTTCATTTTGTGAGGAATTTATTAAAACGAGATGGATTTTGAATATTTTGGAGATTACAGAATGACGTACTAAAATTATTAGAAATGCAAAGTGACATCACTCAAAGTCATGGCTCCATTGTGCACAGCAAATCTCCGTAAATAATTTTCCATTTCAATTATTCCTTTTTGAATTCCTTCTCTACACATAATCATTCCACAATATAAATCATTTCCTTTCATTACTGCCAAATCTACAATTTCATCTGGTTTTCTTCCGAAATCTCCAATTAATTCATGAGCATTAAATAATGGAACGAATGTGAGGTGTTCAGTCTTTC